AAAAAAAAAAAAAAGGGAGCCTGTAGTACGACAGTACTACGACTGTTGTTTTTATTTTAGTTTATTTTCAATTTTTTTTTTTTTCTCGAATTTGGTTGCAGGAACCTCCTCCGTCCCAGGAGCTTCGCCATAGCCAATCTCCATCGCAGGCGATCCACCATAGCCATCTCCCTCCGAGACCTCTGCCATTGCCGTTTCTGAAAGTATTTTGAAAGTTTTTTTCGAAGTTTCTGTCCTTCTATGAAGAAGGCGGCAACATACTGACTTGACTCAGCTGATTGGTATTGGTCGTACCTACAACCTCATGAGCCGCACATTTGTGCGGTCGCCGTACGGCGCCTGGGGGGTGACTGTTCTCCCCACAGCTTCGTACCTGAAAGCCCTTCCACGATTCAGACCCCAAATTCGGACTTCAGGGTCAATTGCCCAGGTCAAGGAAAGGCTGAGTTCGTCAAACTCAGAAAAGTCACAATCGGGTACCTCAGCAGTCTGGTCCAACAGGCACCCAGCAAACAGTCACGTCTCAGCGACAAGAGTCACGTCTCATAATAAAAACTATTAAAAAACCATTCAGAAGAGTCACATCCCACGAGTGAAAGGCAGATTCACCAAGCAAGAGTCGTGTCTCAAAGGTAGGAGTCACATTTCCTAATGAAAAGTCGTACTGAAGAGACACATCCCACGAGTAAAAGGTAGAATCACAGGCAAAGGTCATGACCCACAGGCAGGAGTCACTGTTCACAGTCAAAAGTCGTGTTCACAAGTGAAAAGTCACGACTTAAAGGCCCAAGCAGCAGCAGTCCAATGGAAATTCGGGAAGGTTCCAGGCCTTGAGATTCAGTAGCAGACAGGCCGTGGGGATGTGGTACCGGAACCAGTCAGGACCGAAGAAACAGAGGCTGGCACGAGTTGAAGTGCAAACCAAGACTACAAAAGGACTGGCCAGCCTCACATTCAGGCAGATTGCTCATTCGCAAGCAGTGTGGAAGTGCTGGTGCACATGTGCGCTGAAGTGAGGAGCAGAGCGCTGAGGCCAGAGTCCTGCACTAAGTGAGGGAGAGAGAGAGGAAGATAGCGCTGGCAGGGAGAAGGCAGCCATAGCTGTGCCAGTGCAGAAGTGTTAGTGCTAGTTGTTAGTAGTAGACTCCAGAGGGGTTTGTAGAATTGACAGTGGGTGTATTCAGAGTAGAATCAGTAGATCCATGAAGTAGTAGATAGTGAGTGTGAATGCATGTAGGGAGAGAAGACACAGCGAGGTCATAGCTAGGGAGAAGACCAGCAAGTTGGAGAGATACGTAACAGGGAAGAGCAGAGGGGAAGAGATACTTACCTGAGAGGTTATGCTGATTATTGGTTACCTATTGGCACGCGCTGATGAGCGCTGGTGACCTGAACTCTTATTGTTCTTGTAATACTTTCTGGAAATGATAAGCTGCGCCACCTGATCTTCATCTGTCTGGTCTCCAGTGTGAATTTCGTGTGAACTCATACATGCATGGGGTGTGAATATGTGCACTCACTGGTGTGGAACTAGGAGGTTCATTGCACACCGCACAGACCCGGCCCGTGCGGTTTCCGCACAGTGCGGTGCAGGGGATGGCCGTGCGATGCCGAACTGTGCGGAGCTGGTGCGCTTCGAGCCCCGCACCGTGTGGAGCCGTGTTTTTTTTTTTTTTTTTTTTTTTTTTTTTTAGGGGTTCTGAGGGAGCTTGGCAGGTGGAGGGTAGTTAATTTTGAAGTTATGACTGAGAACCAGCCTGCTCGGAGGATGGGCATCGTCGTCATCCTGCTGGTCGTCGTTCTGCGCCATCGATGGAGGGGAGATGAAAGACGCATGGAGGATGGGTGGAGGGGAGATGGATTATACATGGACGATAGAGCTGGAGGAGAGATGGAGGAGAGATGAAAGAGAGATGGAGGAGTTATGGAGGAGAGATGGAGGGGATATGGTGAGCAGAACGGGGGTAGACGAATTGACGAGCAGTATTCCACCAA